TGATCCTCGACGCTCATGGCTTCTCCGTCGCCGCCTTCCACCGCAAGCGGTGACAGCACCGCCGCTACTAACTCCACCTTCAAACAAAAAATCTCAGTCAAGCTTGATGAGAACAACTATCGACAGTGGAAACAACAGGTTGAAGGAGTTCTTCGTGGCACGAAAATGGTGCGGTTTGTCGTCTCACCTTAGATACCGGAACGGTACCTCACTGTTGCCGATCGTGACACCGGAAGTGAGAACCCTAACTTCGTCGCGTGGGAAGAACAGGATGCGCTGTTGTGCACGTGGTTGTTATCCACGATTTTAGACTCGCTTCTCTCTCGTTTCGTTCTCCTTCGCCACTCGTGGCAAGTCTGGGAAGAAATTCATGCGTTCTGCCATACGCAAATGAAGACTCGGTCTCGCCAACTCAGATTAGAGCTTCGCTCCCTCTCGAAAGGTACTAGAACTATTTCTGATTTTCTTGCTCGAGTTCGCACTATCGTCGATACTTTAATGTCGATTGGTGATCCAGTCCTTCATCGTGACCAAATTGAACTGATTCTTGAGGCGTTACCATCGGAATTTGACTCGGTTGTTGCTGCTGTTAACTCTAAGACTGATTTCATTTCAATTGATGAATTAGAATCGCTTCTCCTCACTCAAGAAACCAGAGTTGAGAAATCCAAGAAAGAAGTTGTTGAGACTGTCTCTGTGAACCTTACTCAAGGTAATGTGTCAAGTTCCAATCCCAGTCCCCAAGATTCTGATATCCCTGACTCCAGTGGTGGAAACTTCCAAAGCTTTGGTCGTGGCAGCTATTCTCGTGGCAGAAACAATAGAGGAGGAAGGTTCAGAGGACGCGGTGGCCGCAACGGCTATAGAAACTCTGTGCAATGTCAGATATGCTATAAACCAGGTCATGATGCTAGCTATTGCTACTACAGACATTCTCAAGACTCTTATGGTGTCTATCCTCCTTATGGTGCTCCTGTCTCCTTTGGAAATTTTAGCTTCAGTCAACCAAATGTGTGGACTCAACCTGGTTTTAGGGCTCCAAGTTCTTCAGCTGTGAATCAAGCTAGATCTATGGCGCCTGTCATGGCATCTCAGTACTCTGGTGCAAGGCCTCAGGCACTGATTGCTGGCACTGACTATTCTCCGTTCTACAACCAGGCGTGGTATCCTGACTCCGGAGCTTCACATCATGTGACTCCAGATGCCACAAATCTTACTGATTCTGTATCCCTGCCTGGTAATGATCAGGTTCACATTGGCAATGGCCAAGGTCTGTCCATAACTTCTCTTGGCTCTATGAATTTTCCTTCAAATTTATGCCCTAACACTTCTTTGAAACTGAATAATCTTCTTCTTGTTCCATCCATTACTAAAAATCTGTTGAGTGTGAGTCAATTTGCCAAAGATAATGCTGTATTCTTTGAGTTCCATGCTAATGCCTGTTTTGTAAAATGTCAGGGTACTTCTAAAGTGCTTTTGAGTGGTTCCCTTGGGAGTGATGGTCTTTATAAGTTCAACTGCACTCCTCCTCCTAGTTTCCTCTCAAGTCCTCAGTGCTGTTTGCAAGTCATCTGGCCCTCAACATCCTTCTTTGGAATCTAGCTTTGTGTTCAATTCCAGTTGTAATAATAGGAACTTAGATTTTGTTTCCAGTCTGTACAAACTGTGGCACCACAAGTTGGGTCACCCTCATCATGAGGTTCTTAAACAAGTTCTCAAATTGTGTAATATTTCCATTCCTAATAAACAGTTTTCTGATTTCTGTATTGCTTGTTGTTTAGGTAAGGTACATAGGTTACCATCTACCTCATCTAAAACTGTTTACTCCAAACCCCTTGAACTTGTGTTCTGTGACTTGTGGGGGCCCTCACCAGTTCCCTCCATCTCTGGCTATTCATACTTTCTCACCTTTGTTGATGCTTACAGCCGTTATACCTGGATTTATCCTCTAAAATTAAAATCTGCCACACTTGCCACCTTTATTCAGTTTAAAGCTCTTGTTGAACTACAACTTAACTTCAAAATCAAGTCTGTGCAAACTGATGGTGGAGGTGAATTCAAACCTTTGACACACTTTCTAACCATGCATGGCATAACACACAGAGTTACATGTCCACATACTCATCACCAAAATGGCTCTGTGGAACGTAAACACAGACATGTTGTGGAGACAGGTCTTACTCTTCTTGCTCAGGCTAACCTACCCTTAAAATTCTGGGATCATGCTTTCCTCACTGCTACCTATCTCATAAACAGGCTTCCATCTCCTTCCCTGCATAATAAATCACCCTTTTTCTTGCTGTATTTTCAATTTCCTGACTACAAATTCTTAAAGGCCTTTGGCTGCTCCTGTTTTCCTCATCTCAGACCCTATAATTCTCACAAACTTGCTATGCATTCTAAGGAGTGCTTATTCCTTGGCTATTCTCCATCCCACAAAGGCTATAAATGTCTTGATCCTACTGGCAAAATATTTGTGTCTAAGATGTTATATTCAATGAGCACAGGTTCCCTTATACTTCTCTATTTCCTGACTCACCATCTACATCTGTTTCAAAACCCTCTTCTACTCCCTTTTCTGGACCTTCATCTGGCCACTTATTCCCCTCACCTCTGTTGGTCCTCACTCACACTTCCAGTCACCTACTAATTCCCCTGGTTTTTCTAACAGGCAACCTTCTTTCAGCAGCATTAATCCTGATCCTGGTTCACCTGTTTCTCCCTCCCAGTCTGCTTCTACTTCTCCACATTCTGTTCATCCTGAGACATCTTCTGCTGACTCTTCAGCCGTGTCTCCTCAAGTTGATATTGAGTCCTCCTCAGTAGGCATTAGCAACAGCATAATCTCTTCTCCATTTACTGAACACTCCTCCCCTGCTACCTCTGTTCATCCTCTTAACACTCATCCCATGGTCACTAAAGCTAAGGATGGCATTGTTCAACCTAGGCTGCACCCCACTCTCCTTCTCACTCAATTGGAACCAACCTCACATAAACAGGCTTTATCCATTCCTGAGTGGCAAACTGCTATGAAAGCTGAGTATGAAGCATTAATTAAGAACCACACTTGGTCTCTAGTTCCTGCTCCTGATCACACAAAACCTATTGGCTGCAAGTGGGTTTTTAGGGTCAAAGAAAATGCAGATGGGACAATTAACAAATATAAAGCAAGATTGGTTGCTAAGGGTTTCCATCAAGTTGAAGGTTTTGACTACACTGAAACTTTTTCACCAGTTGTGAAATCTATCACAGTGAGGACTGTTTTAACGCTTGCCATATCTAAAGGGTGGATCTTACAGCAAATTGATGTCAATAATGCTTTTCTAAATGGAGTGCTTAATGAAGAGGTTTATATGGTTCAACCACCAGGTTTTGAAAAGGGTGAACTTGGTCTTGTCTGCAAGCTTCACAAAGCCCTCTATGGCCTTAAACAGGCTCCTAGGGCCTGGTTTGATAAGCTCAAAGGGTCTCTTCTCCAACTGGGTTTCACTGCTAGCAGGTGTGATCCCTCCTTGTTCATGATGCTCACACCATCCTGCTACACCTTAGTGTTGGTGTATGTTGATGACATTATCATCACTGGCTCTTCTTCTTCTTTCATCAAGCAGTTGATCACTAGACTCAATCTGGCCTTTTCTCTCAAAGACTTGGGCACACTTGATTATTTTTTGGGCATAGAGGTATCTCATCTTCCCAATGGTTCTCTTCTGCTTTCTCAAAGCAAGTATGTCAGGGATCTGCTTCATAGAGCCAACATGGCTTCTGCCAAAGGAATTGCTTCCCCTATGGCCTCGAGCACCAAACTATCCAAAGTGGGCTCTGCTCCTGTTGCTGATTCCACCTACTTCAGGTCTATAGTGGGCGCCCTACAGTATGCTACTGTCACCAGACCTGAGATCTCTTTTGCAGTCAACAAAGTGTGCCAATTTCTCTCAAACCCTCTTGAGGATCATTGGAAAGCTGTTAAGCGCATTCTCAGGTATCTCCAAGGGACAGTTTCACATGGTCTTCTTCTCTCACCTGCTAACTTCACTTTGCCTCTCACTATCACATGCCTTTGTGATGCAGACTGAGCATCTGATCCTGACGATAGAAGGTCTACTTCTAGGGCTTGCATCTTCCTAGGTCCTAATCTTGTTACTTGGTGGGCAAAGAAGCAGACACTTGTTGCCAGATCCAGTGCTGAGGCAGAATACAGAAGTTTGGCCTTAGCTACAGCAGAGATTCTCTGGCTTCAGTCTCTTCTGCAGGAACTTCAGATCACCCATCAGACTCCCAAGATACTATGTGACAATCTCAGTGCAGTATCTCTAGCTCACAACCCTGTTTCGCACTCAAGGACCAAGCACATGGAACTTGACATTTTCTTTGTCCGGGAGAAAGTGATTGGCAAGAACCTCATTGTTTCCCACATTCCTGCAGTAGATCAGTGGGCTGATGTGCTAACCAAGCCTCTCTCCACCAACAGATTCTTATTTCTTAAATCAAAGCTTAGAGTTGTTGACAAGCTCAAACTTGATCAACCACCCTAAGTTTGAGAGGGGAGTATTAGAGTTATAAGGGTAGTTCTGTAATATCCTGTAAAAAGGGAATTAGACTAGTGTCTAATTCCATTTCTATCCCCTTATCCTTTCTATATAAAGAAAGGCTGTAATAGAATAAAGATAAAATATAACAAATTTCTGTTTTCGTTTTCCCTCTCTTCTACTCTCTCTCTCTCTCTCTTCTCTTTCTTTCACCCTTTGCTTCTCTGTTTCTATCAGTAAGTCAAGTGGAAATCCTTGTGCTGGAGTGGCCAATATGGAATAGACAGACAATGAAGGTGTGGAAAGCTGAAGAGGTTGTTTATCGTAAGACATGGCTATGGCCTTGATCAAGCTTTGATACCATTGTTGAAATTGATAGTTGAATAATTAGAGAAATGTAGTGATTCTTTATATTACTATTCATTCAAGTTGGAGAAATCTGAGTCTACAATTATAGTAATTGTATATTCTAGTCTTGGCTTGTCTAACAAGCTACTAACTGAATGTAACCGATTTTGACAGAGCTGACTTAGGCTATTATTGACGCACTACATAACTGGTAGACTATTCTAGAACATTTACATAATGCACCACGATTAAAAACCGCATAGAAAAACACTTGAACTGATGTAAGCAAGCATAAGCGACACACAGCACTAGGCATTACCATAAGCATAGTGACACACACCACTCTCTACCACGGAATGTGGACCTTGGAACCTATATCTTTGCTTAACTTTAACTTCCAGAATAGTGACAGGCGACAAATACAATAAAACTATGATCACCTTCACCCATGTTTAATCATCTGGCAAGGATATAATTCATGTTCTGTTTATTTAAAATTGATTGTTATCTGTATTTATAGGTGAAACTAATGATACTAGTATAAGAGCTTTGCGGTCGAGGCAAATGAAGAACTTTCATTTGGCATTAATGGTATCTCAGGTACATATTTGAAGTACATTTTAGAATGCTGTTGTGGTATAATTTTTTTAAATGCAAATAACTCCCTTCAACTTTGTTTATCTGGCAAATAGCCCCATGTGGTTTCAACTTTGGCAATAAATGTGTTTGAACTTTCAAGTTTGAACATATGCCAAAGTCCTCGGAGCAAAAGTGAGTAAATATTGAAACTTCAATTGAAATACGGCTTACAAAACTTCAACAGTAATCTAGAAACTCACTTGTTGAATCAAATTTAACAAAATGTATACTCATTAGTCCAACTTCCATAGTTTTCCCCCTCTTAATATCTGGTGGCCTGTTGAAAGTTTAAGCTTGTTAAATAACAACTTTAAGTCAACTATGGGCTGTGTCAAGGCTTAAAGTTTAAGAGAAATTATTTTCATTTCAACCTAATTACATTACAGTTTAGGTGATTATACTATATAGACTTTTCAAAAGAAAACTTGAAGACACCGTTGCATTAATACATTTGTTATCATTAGCTGCCACTGAAATCAGAATAGCTATTTAAAATTTTGTAATGAATGACCAGGGAACACCAATGATGTTAATGGGGGATGAATATGGCCATACTCGCAATGGAAATAACAATAGTTATGGGCATGATTCTGCCATTAATTTTTTCCTGTGGGATGAGGTAAGTTCATAACATCCCTTTTGGTAGCTTACTAGAGATTATTTCTTAACAGCCTAATCTTTTTTTATCAATAGTTGGATGCAAGGAAGCGTGATCACTTCAGGTTTTTCTCCAATGTAATAAAATACCGGCATGAACATAAAATATTCAGGCATGAGAATTTTCTCAGTGAGGTGATTGTTCCATAATAATAAATTAATTCTGCAAAAACAATGCCATTTTCCAGTCAAAAAGGGAAAATCACTGTCATATGTGCTTATAGGACAGTTTATTGTTGCAGAAGGAAATAACATGGCATGAAGACAATTGGGACAATTATGAAAGCAAATTTCTCGCATTTACGTAAGTGTACATATTTTTATTTGGAATGAGTGGAAAACACTGCAAATTTAGAAACACATTCACACAATGAAGCACCTAAACATTATCTTCAGATATTATCTTGGTCATAGAGTAGGGGTTAAAAGTGGATGTGTTATAAAGTGGATGTTCAACTCCTCCCACTAACATAACACACTAATTATCAGCATTTGATGTTCAAAAAATAAATCTTGGTCACGGCGTATACAAAAAATAGTTTAAAGTATACATATGCATGTAACTGAAATGTCTCTTTGCTTCTCCTAAATGTTTTAATTAGTGGAACTGGAATGTCTATTGCTTGTTGTTGATATTTGTAAATATATAGTATTTAGAATATTTGTATGTAAAATAATCTCACATCGATTATATCATGTAATTAGTTGTAATTTCTCTCTCTATATAATAAAGTCTCCGTAGTGTTTTTAAAACACACGGTTTAACCTAAATGTCTCTTAGTCTCTCCTAATTCAATATGGTATCAGAGCCTACTAAGAGTTAATTCTTCGCCTTGTTTTATCTGGTTGATCCATTGTCTTCCGGTGATAATTTTTTTTTGTAAATCGTGTCGTCACTCCGGTTTGTCTCTCATTTTCCAAAATTCTCCGGTAATCACCGGACTGCTGCCGCTATTAATTCCGACGACCTTCCGGTAAATTAACCCTACCGGCAAAAGCGTCTTCTTCGATCCCGTCGATCCCGACGATTTTTCCACTCCCGCACTCGCCACCGTGCAACTTTTTCAAATCTGATACTCATGGCTATTCCTCAGAATTTTACGTCAAACTACGATGATTTTATCTCGTTCTCTTGATTGTATTGTCACCTTCATTAATAGTAATGTCACCCTGCAGGAACGGAGTTCGGGACGGACAATTGGCGTCGGATGTGAGTCTCAAGGCCTTTATTACCTCTCAGTGTCATCTCAGACATGGTTAGTCAAAGATTCTCCACTCGCAATCCGTGTTTAGTTAGGTCATCCTAGTCTTTTTCAAATTACAGAAGTTGGAGTTTATCGAAAGTATCTAATTTATATTGTGAGTCGTGTCAGTTAGGAAAACACACTCGTAGTCAATTTTTCAATCGAGTCAATAAATGTGTTTCGTTCCCTTTTGTTTTAGTTCACTCTGATGTTTGGGGTCCCTCATGTACTATCTCCACTCTTGAGTCTAGGTATTTTGTCATCTTTTATTGATGATTTTTTACGTTGCACGTGGTTATTAATGAAAAATAGATCAGAGTTATTTTTTATTTTTGAAAATTTTTATAAAGAAAAAAAAACTCAGTTTGGTGTGTGTGAAGTGATAATGCTCGTGAATATTTATCCCAACAATTTCAAACTTTTATGTCCAGTAATGGTATTCTCCACCGAACATCTTGTCCTCATACACCTCAACAAAACGGGGTAGCCGAATGTAAAAATCGGCATCTTGTAGAAATCACTCGGATCCTACTTCTCCATGGTAGTGTTCCACTTCGGTTTTGGGGAGACGCTGTGCTAACGACATGTTATCTTATAAATCGTATGCCATCATCTGTCCTTAACAATAAAATTTCTCATTCAATTTTTTTTCCTATTCCACCCTTCACCTAATTCCTCTCCGAGTTTTCAGTTTTACATGTTTTGTACACAATCTCTCTCATGGTCTTGATAAACTATCAGTTCGATCACTAAAGTGTGTTTTTCTTAATTATCATCGATTTCAAAAAAGTTATCGTTGCTATTCACATATCCTACAACGATACCTCATGTCGGCCAATGTCATCTTCTTCGAGTCTGTTCTATATTTCGAGTTAGTCAAATAACTCTGGAACTCCTTCAGGAGAGTACTCCCACACTTCTTCTGAAAATCCTATATGTCATTATTTCCCATCATTCTAGGGAATCTGGTCCACTAGATAACCCTATGGTTGACCCACCGACTTCTCCACTTCAAACATATCAGCGTCAAAGCTGTCACTGAGATCGTATCTGTCCCTGAGGTCATTGCAGACTCTCCTTCCAACGCTCTCGCCGTCATCGGATCCGATCCTGCAATTCGAGTCCGATCTTCCGATTGTCCTTCGAAAAGATATACGTCAAACACGAAATCCTTCTCCACATTATATTAATTTATGTTAACATTGTCTTTCTCCTTTGCAGTATTCCCAACACTCCAGGTGAAGCACTATCTCACCCTGAGTGGAGGCAAGCACTGATTGATGAAACGTGTGCTCTTCAAAGCAGTGGTACATGGAAACTGATTCTTCTACCCCCTGAGAAATCTTTAGTAGGTTGTTGTTGGTTTTAAATCGATGGTAAGATGAATCGATTTAAAGCTCGCTTGGTAGTCAAAGGATACACTTAAATTTTTGGGTTGGATTATAGTGATACCTTCTCGTCTGTAGTCAAGATGACATTTGTTAGACTTCTTCTAGCTATTGCAACTATTCGACATTGACCTCTTCATCAACTTGACATCAAAAATGCATTTTTACATGGTAATCTTAAAAAGGAAGTATATATGGAGCAACCACCTGGGTTTGTTGCTCAGAAAGAGTCATCGAATATGGTTTGTAGGCTACGCGAGTCTCTATGGTCTTAAGCAATCTGTGAGAGCTTGGTTTGGCAGATTCAACACTGTAGCACAATAATTTGGTATGGTCCGTAGTGAAGCTGACCATTTTGTCTTTTATCGTCACTCACTCAAAGAGTGTATTTATCTTATTGTGTATGTATGATATTGTCATAACTGATATGATGAGCAGAGAATACTTCAGTTGAAACATCTTTCAGACAAAAGATCATGGTAAACTCCGATATTTCTTGGGTATTGTGGTAGTCCAATCTAAAGATGGTTTGGTGATTTCTCAGCGAAAATATGCTATGGATATTTTGGAAGAAACGAGTTTGTTGAACACTAAATCAGCTGATACTCCTATGGATTCAAGTGTCAAACTACTACTCAATCAGAGGGAGCCTCTATCAGACTCGGGAAGATATAGATAGGAGATTGGTTAGATAGTTGAATTATCTCACAGTCACTCGTCTAGACATTTCTTTTGCAGTCAGTGTGGTAAGTCAGTTCTTAAATTCCTCTTGTCAGGAACACATGAATGCTGTTATTTAGATTCTGAGATACAACAAATGTGCTCTAGGAAAAAGGTTTAGTATATGAAGATAAATGACATACTCATATAGTTGGATACTCTGATGCTAATCGGGTAGGATCACCAATTGATAGACGATCCACCTCTGCGTATTGTGTATTTGTTGGAGAAAATCTTATATACTGAAAAGGTAAGAAATAAAATGTAGTTGTAAGATCAAGCGTCGAGACAAAGTATATGGCCATGACAATGGCAACATGTGAACTCATTTGGTTAAAACAATTGCTCAAAGAACTTCAAATTGAAGAAGCAAGACCAATGAAACTTGTATGTGATAATCAAGCTGTATTGCACATTGTTTCAAATCCAGTCTTCCATGAGAGAACTAAATATATTGAGATAGACTCTCACTTTGTCAGAGAGAAGATTGAATCTGGCGACATCGTCACATGCTTTGTCAACTTTAATGATCAATTGACAGATGTGTTTACAAAATCTCATCGAAATTCCAGAACTAATTATATATGTGGCAAGTTTGGTGTATTTGACTTATATGCTCCAACTTGAGGGGGAGTGTTGATATTTGTAAATATATAGTGTTAAGAATATTTGTGTGTAGAATAGTCTCACATCGATTATATTATGTAATTAATTGTAATCTCTCTCTCTCTCTCTTTATATATATAATAAAATCTTTGTAGTGCTTTCAAAACACACGGTTTAACTTAAATATCTTCTAATTCAATACTTGAAATCGAGACTGACTTGACAACTATTTGTTTTGCCCCTTTGTGTATATGTTGCACATATGCATGCAGGCTTCATGACAAAAGTGGGGGAGATGTCTATTTAGCTTTTAATGCTCATGACTACTTTTTGAAAGTTCTGCTGCCCTCACCCCCAACAAAGAGAAGGTGGTTTCGCGTGGTAAGTTTATTTATTTATTTTTGGGATATACAAAAATTCAACTTTTTAGTATTGCTTGCATATTTTAAATCCATGGAGCACTATGAAGGCAACCCCTCCCCTTCCCTAAACTATCTGGTTCCTACTAATGTTATTAGAAAATATGACTAAATTATCTTGTCCACCCATTAGAATTTGCAATCAACCCGGTTTGAGTTACTGGCCTAGCAGAATGAGAATGACTTTGTATGTTAATATCAGTTACCTCAACCTAGATTGTTTCAATATGTTCAATTTTAGTTTAAGTTTAACTCGGCATATTTACAGGTGGACACTAATCTTGAATCTCCCGATGACTTGGTCCTAGATGGTGTTCCCGGCATAGGAAAAACGTACAGTATAGCTCCATTCTCCTCCATTCTTCTGGAGGCAAAGTTTTGATGCAGACAGTGTTGTGTAGATGTATCCTAAAAGAATAAAAAAGAAAAAAGGGAACAGACGTGTATATACGCGTATCAACGTTAATCTTATTTTCTTTTCAAGGCAGCAACATGAAATTTATGCTCTGAATTAGTTCCCTAGATCAGTATGGCATGAAGTTTTACTGCTCAGTATTAGAAGACTCCTGTACCAAATAGAAGATAGACGCCTCTGAGCTATACGAAGATTGGATAGTCGATTACTACCTTATCTGTTATATATTAGTTTGATAAATGTATCTGTCTATCTACTGTATATGATTCTATATTTACACACTAGTATGTATACTGAGATCCTATGTACGGTTGTTATATTGTAAATTTGGCTTGAATGGAATAATGCCATAAATCCATCTTTTAAGAAGCTTAAATAGGTTTCAAAATATGTTTTGGACTCGATATCTTTAATGAGTGAAATTCAAAGCGAACCCATCATCTATAAAACAGAAGAAACTCAATTCATTTTTAATAGTCAAAGTGATTAAAATACATAACCAAAAATCTGAGAAGTTAATTAAAATCCGTGTAGGCACCAAACTAATTAAGAGGGAAGATGAAAAAATGGTTAAATTTTGTGTAAAAAGATAACGGATGTTTGAAATGGTATAATAAATTCTCACAAAAGAGTTAGAGTTATATGTTGAATCTGAAATATATTTCACGAGGGTTTGTGTGAGATATTCAGATTTTTTGAAATATGTCAAGAGTACTATTTTAGATAAGGTGAAAGAGAAGACTATTTGTGCTTGACTTAATTTGCTTATACATTTTAATAATACAACAACTAATAAAGTTAGTCTGCACATGATACACTGAAGAATTGGTTGGAAAATAGTAAAGGTGATTTTTGTCGAGATTGAGACGTCGTGAATCAAATGCTCTGAAATCAATATAATGAGATACATACATTTTGGTTGGAGCATTACTGTATTAAAACATTGATTCAATGATATCATCTTTTATTCACAGTTGATTGTCAATATATCTCGGACGAAATTAAATTTTATTTTTCACGAAGCCAAACAAATAGATAAAATAGGTTCAGATAGTTTCAAGTGTGGTTGTACACTTAAGAAGACGTGCAGTATTTCATGTGCTTATTTATTTACAAAGAAAATAAAGGTCAACACACCAATATGGATGGATGAGATTTACTCACTGAAAAAGACTTTGGTTTAATGATGGTGTGATGAATGATGATAAAATCAAACATTTCTATCATGACCGAGTAGAAAGTGATCTAAGAGAGATTTCTGAAAGCTGATGGTAATATGAAATTGTACATTAAAGAACAGTTGAGGAAGATTGTGTATTCTGAAATCACTAATTTGAAATCACCTTCGAAATCAACTAAAACGAAGGGTGTTCCAAAAAAAGTCAAATCAACTGAGACTGACAATTCTACGAGAAGTTCTCCTTCTTACGTTGAACGTGTTGACTCTCATTTTCCGAATTCTATGACTCTTAAATCAAATAAATTGTTTTCAAGGGTGTTCGGATTAGTAAACCATCTCTCCAACCACCGTTATCAAAAATCATCCATATTGAAGAACTGTCGTTTTTTATGCACAAATACATTGACCGAATTATATATATTGAAGGTGACAACGAATGTGATTTTCGAGCATTTTCGAGCATTTTGAGTTTACTCAGTAAAGGAGAGGAGAACCACCAATTTGGTCACCATCAGCTTATACAAAAGTTAATAACGCATAAGAAATCACACCCATCACTATACGGAGAAAAAAAAAGAAAATTACGATACAATTATCAATGCTCTTGTTCCTTGTGTTAGTGGTTTGACACCGTTGAAAAAATGAATGCGCTTTTTTGAAATGGGACATTTTATAGTAAGTGCTTATGATAAGGTGTGTATTGATCAAATAAGATATGATTTTTTAGACACATTTTTTTACTTCAGAGTAGACCACCTCAAAATTCATCCGGATGCATCATGTGTATTGGGTGATTTTAAAAATCACAACAATTTGTTCAAATTTATTTGAAATCTATACCAAAAACTTCATCGGAGTTGATGCTATATTTCTCAAAAGAAACTGAAATTTGGTCGGATCACTTTCTAGAAAGGTTGGAAGAATTCACCAAGTTGAGCGACATTGTAAAAATAATCAAATAAGAAAAAATTAAAGAAGGAACCACCCGTAGATATAGATTTAAGTGGTAAAATATGTTTGAATACATTTTAGTTTTTACCTAACAATGTAACTCATTTTTTGTATGTAATATTATCAATGATGTAACACTTTATCTATTTTAAAAATTTGGCCCTGCAAATAAATATTGGTTCGGTATGAACAATGCTCTATGGGGGTGATTCCAGATAGGAATTTCTGGACACACCCCCATTTTAATTGTAAAAACAACTAAACAAGAGATTTCACGAATGTGCATATCTTTAAAAACACTTATTTTGTAAAAAATAGGGTGTGTCCGAATATGTATATCCGAAATATGTTATTATGAAAGGGTATTGTTTTTAAGGTCCAAATTGATCTAAATCTTGTATAAGCAGGGAGTCTCTCATCCCATGTTATTTATAATGACACAACACACCATAATGAATACATATCTCTGTCTTACATTTGTGTATTTCAATGGTGCATAGCCGTCACTTTAATTAAAGGTCTACCTCTCGTCAATCTGAAATTCAAACTGAATACTCTAATGTGATATCTATAAAATGGAAGAGTTGTCAAGCTCGAGTATCGTTCACTCTCAATTGACGATGAATGGAAGATATGGTTCACCATGCTTGAACTGAAGACAAATGAAAATTTAAATATTATTTGGAGTACATTTTACTGTTACTCATCAAAGGATCCAATTGAAGGGGATGTAACAACTGAAAGATTGATCGAAAATATTTTAAAGATGTTGCAACGTCCTGAATCACCTGTATGTAATGTAATATAATGTTAAATTTATGTTAACAATTATTTATGTAATGTTAAGTATTTTGATATTAATCTGTGATGTTTTTCCAACATTCTGCAATTGCTTCTAGTTTGTCGTAATATAATATATTTTAGAGATACATATTTAGATTCATCCTAACGTTGATATGGAGATACATTTCCGAACTAAATTTTGACAAAATAAAGGTGACTCACCTATTTTTACATTGGTGAGTAAATAAAAAGGGAGTATCCAGAAATAAATCTCTAAATTCTAGAAGCAATTGCGATTTTTTATCGTGGTGCAGAAGCACCTCATGGGGTGAAAAGAGTACTCCCCAAAATTAATTGATATGCCTTGTTAGAAAACCCGTTCCAAAGACAAGTCTAGCAAGGCCATTGTCTCAGGGCTATTTTTTTTACTAACGTCCAAATAAATTAGTTAACAAATAATATATTTTAGCAAAAACTCAGTTGTAATGTGTATTATCTAGTAGCCCAATGGTAAAGGGATATTCTAATATATTTGAAGTTAGCAGTTCAAAAACTATTGTTATCGAGGTCGAAGAGCGTGAAGAGTAGTTGTCAAATTTATATAAGAATGAGATAATTCTTAAGAATGTGCATGAAAGAGATTATATGGTTGAAGTAAAATTTATAAGAATTGATTAATACTACCTATATTAATAAGATATATCTTCATTTCAGTAGTCTAACAAATAAGAATTTTATAGTTAAAGAGACTTGACTCGGAGTAATATTTAAATATATAATTTTTTTAAAAATTTCTCAAAAAACGTGTAAGTGAAGATAATGTATAAGGACCCCAAACTACTAAGTTGATTTTATTTTATTTTTATTCATTTATTTGTTAGTTATTTGACTCATGACTTGGTCTATTTATTTACTAATTCACATTCCTTTATTTCTACTCTTCATCAAACTAAATTACATACACATCTACTTATTTGTTTTTATTCATTTATAATTAAAATATTAGAATTAAATACACATATTAAAAGTCTATCAATTTAACAATTATCAAAATATAAATATCAATTATAATATTACCAATTAATAAGTTTAATATATATATATATATATATATATATATATATATATATATATATATATATATATAGTGAGTATATAAATAATTAAGATTAATTTCAATATTCTTAATTTATCAAGATAATTATTTTTTAAATAAATAATTACAATATGAAAATATAGATAATGAAAACCAATTGTAAATAAATAATATATTTATTAAAAAGATGATTTTGTTATATATGAAATTCTGGCACACATAAAATTAGATGTAAATAGTGATGTCTCAACACACACGTACAATGTCACAACAAATGCTATAATATCTGCTGATAAAATATAAATTTTTATCAAAATAAAATTATGCAGAATTATAAAGTGTAGAAGGTAAAAGAGCACCGAGAATTGTTAATCCAGTTTGGTGTAACTCACCTACTTTGAAGGCTACTAAGTCAGGAAGGAAATCCATTATCAACAATATTATTTCGAAGCTAAACAATCCCAATTTACACTTGTCACTTAACCCCTATCCAGTACAATTTCTACCTAGGTACATCCTAGATATAAGAGGAGCTCCTCTCACTCCCAATCACCACCGTGATATCAAACAATTTCAGTTTCAGGAAATGTCTTAAGAAACCAAAAAGGAAGAACACACTTTCAAATTAAACTACTTAGTTTTCTTAAAAGCTTCACTAAGAACAATAATCAACTCTTGCTTAAAAGTTTCGAGGAGAACAACAACTTGATAAACAAGTAACAATCAGTCAACTCAAATACATCAAAGATACATGAGGATGTACAAATGAAAAAACATAAACCCCTTGAAGAATCTTCAAAACCTAAGACTAAAAAAATTCGACTTCTCCTTATTTTTTACAAAGTTCTTAAAGATATTAGCTCTACATAGTTTATTTAAATACTCTTCAACCATCCTTGGGCCTTGCATCTGCACATAAATATTCATTGTTGTTCACGCTAAGGGCTGCATTGATCT